GCATCGTGACTTATTTTTTTCTTTGTCCACTCTGTGTATTTAAATAAATGCACGAACGTGATTTAGCCAAGGCTTCTTTACAGCCTCCACATTTATTATTTATTCTAGTACGCGTATGTATTTTGTTTTTAGAGTTTGCGTGCCTAAAAATCATAATTTTAACAGTCTGCACCTTTTTTCACAGTTTTGTTGTGCCCAAACCAAGGTTTTGTATTAAAATTTTCCTCCTTGAATTAATTCTATTTTTGTAAATATATATGAATTATCCTTTGGTCAATTTCCATGGTTGGATCTTAAAATGGACGTGTTGTTACATGTTTCAAAGAGGGTGGTGAGTTATTTTTTATTTTCGACAATTCAGCGGTTGGTAAATATTTTGATCCTAACTGACAATCATGCAGGAAATATTTAATCTCGCTAACCACTAACCAATGTTTTCGGAGGAGCGGTAAATTTCCAAACTGGTTAGAGTTTGTTTTTAAATGTTTCCTTTAAAAACAAAGATCACACTGGATATTTTCAATGAAGTTTTTTTTTATCATGGCATCAAAAGGCAAAAAGAATAGTTAAATGATTAATTAAAGTTTACTTAATTACAATAAAAGTAATAATATTCAATTAGCTCTAAACAGAAGAGCAAATGGTGTGAAGTTGATTGGTGTGAATTACACTTGGGGCACATAGAAAACACCTTTTGTTCTTGCACGTATAAAAGTCTACGAGTATGTCTACTGATGAATCTAGTAATGGTGGATAATTTTACCGAAGTCTTGTACCAACAGAAGCTGCTCCTTTCTTCGTATCCATGAATCGTTTTGTCGTATCTGCTGCTTTGACAATTGGCATGCTCGTGGTTTTGGTGCGGTACCAATAATATCCTATTCTACTAATGTCTGCTGCCAAGATACCTTGATGGTCTCGTCCGTTATTGCATCAAGGCGATTGCCATAGTAATTTTGCACAATTTTACTTCGAAAATCGTTTGTCCAATTTCAGCCAATCACATCTTGTGGTAGGAAATAGAAGAAAAAAAACACTTACTGGTTCTAGGTACAGTAAAGAATGGATACTCAAATATCACGAAATTTTCTTCGTTTTTGATGAAACCGTTTCTTGGTATATGCTCTGAGTGAATTTAAAGACATTAAGGATCAAAATTATCAAAATTAAAGACATTTTACGGCATTCTATTTCTTACCAAAGAAAAAAAAAACGAAGTAAACTAGTACACCTTTCTAATAATCACTTTATCGTAGATATAGGTAGATCAATCCATATAGGTAGATCAATGGCGCCCTGACAACGTAAGACAGATGAATAAATTACACCCATACCCAATTCTGGATTCGATCCCGGGATCTACCTGGTGTGAGGCTATCTTACAGGCCAATCAGCTTACGTCGTTCACTGAATTTTCGATCGTCTAATCTTCCTTCTAGCTTTGTCAGTCTAGTTGTTAACATTCATTCTAGCTTTGTCATTCTAGTTGTTAACATTCATTCTAGCTTTGTCATTCTAGTTATGAACATTCATTCTAGCTTTGTCATTCTCGTTAACAATCTTCCACAATGTTCTACAAAGAGGTTTCGAGTTGAGGAAACACATTCGTTATATACTATTTGAAAGTTCGCGTTTCGTCGCAAAGTCACGTGATTTCGTGACGAAATTATTCTCAAAATGAACGAAATACAACTCGAGGATTGCTGAATCGTCAGAAGTGCGAGTTTTATTTTTGAGAGTTTATATTTGCTGTTACGTGAGAGGTGCTTCATTCATATATATTATATTATTCGTTTCAATCATTTGGAAATTTTGCTTCACCTGATTTTGATGAAATTTGGATTGGCCGTTCCTGTACATAAATTTTTTTTCGGAATTACAAAAAATGAACAGCTCACCTTCCAATGCTTGTTCATTTATCAAAGTGTCATTGTTCAAAGTTTATACAAATACTATGATTGGAAGCATGTAACAAAAATACATGATATAAACGTTTCTTTTTTATTCCATCGATATTTTGTCAGAAAAACCATATTCACTTTCACTGAATACTAAAAATGCAGTTTTGAAACTCCATTTTTCAATTATGCACAAACTCCTATCCAGTTTTTCATATTTGTAAATTTTTTTTAATCAAATTACTCCATTACGAAGTAGTCGATAAAGTGAAATCATATATAATTTTGAATTTCAATACATTTAATTAACATAATGATAATAATGTTAAAATCACAACCTTTTTAGCTGTACCTTTTGCAGGAAAAATTCTAGAAAATGAAGACTCTAGTCATTATGGACAATAATAATTTGTTTATTATTAAAACATTTCAGATGATTAACGATAAATCTTCATATATTAGTATAAAAAACCGTACATAACAGTATAAGAAAGTATAAAGAGATTATATTATAGCTCACATAGAGAGAAGCAGTAACGAGAAGTTTATAACATTTTTAAAAAGTAGTGAGCAACATCACATTTTCACTCTTTTTTTTTATTTTTTTTTCTATTCCTACTATTAGTTTACACACTCTCATATATCGTGTTCAAATTTTCGACCGTTAATAAAATACTTCTTATTCATCCACTTCAAATACATTTTTTTAAGCTTATAGTGGAGGACTCTTGATGTTAATACAGTTTTTCCAAATATTAATGCATTTATTAAATAGAGATGAGCGAAAAACGGAATGGAATTTTCTGATGGGTTAAGCGTTAGTCATCTATATATATATTTCTCTTACACGGCGACAAAAAAAAGCCTCATTACAACTCCCCGAATGGCAACGCTGGAAAATCGACCCATGATTGCCGCTAAAAATGTTACATGCCAAATCTAGCTGAGGTGGCTCAACATATAGCTCTTTTAAAAACGGAAACTGAAATAACCAGAGAGAGCATTCTCGCCAAATGTTATCTCTTCCGAAATTCACCTTATCAGCTGCGGCAATCTCATACTATTAAGCTAGGCAGAAGTGAGTGGTCTTTGTCGATAGATCTCTATTTTAGTATTTTGTCGAAGGCGCTTTTTTTTCTCACGAATTTATATGTTACGAATTTATTTGACGATTTTTGATTTATATCACGGATTGATTTGTTTTATTATTGTTATTAGTTATTCATTGAAAAATGTGTCTCAGTCGTGCTGTTACGCTTTAAGATTTTATACTAAAGCACATTTCTAATAGGTTTAACGAATTACGTGTCATTTATTTGAATTCAAAATTATTTTAATGACTTAGTATTTACTAAAAAGATGTAATTGTTTTTTTAAAAAAAAGTTGTTATATGGATTTGAATGATTGTTTTGAATTCTTAAGAGTTTTGTGCATTTGCAATGTACCTAAGTTAGTAGCGAGAGAAGCAAACCATATAAGAATGCGTAGCAATTTTCGGGGGTTTGCGAGCGTTAGCGAGCAGGGGGCGCAACCCACTAATTGTTTTAAATTTTACTATAAGTGATTCAGTTTTTCACATATTTTAAAAATAACATCAGTGATAATTTCTAACTTATAGCTCTATTTGAACAAAAAAATAGTTTATTAGTCACATTTAATTATTTTATATTTGCTGTGTCCGATATATTCAATAACGAAAGCAAGTTGGTCCACGTCACCAAATTTATACTTTTATAGTTATTTGATACCACGCCCCTTTTTTTTCCAATTCCCACTATTNCCCAATTCTGGATTCGATCCCGGGATCTACCTGGTGTGAGGCTATCTTACAGGCCAATCAGCTTACGTCGTTCACTGAATTTTCGATCGTCTAATCTTCCTTCTAGCTTTGTCAGTCTAGTTGTTAACATTCATTCTAGCTTTGTCATTCTAGTTGTTAACATTCATTCTAGCTTTGTCATTCTAGTTATGAACATTCATTCTAGCTTTGTCATTCTCGTTAACAATCTTCCACAATGTTCTACAAAGAGGTTTCGAGTTGAGGAAACACATTCGTTATATACTATTTGAAAGTTCGCGTTTCGTCGCAAAGTCACGTGATTTCGTGACGAAATTATTCTCAAAATGAACGAAATACAACTCGAGGATTGCTGAATCGTCAGAAGTGCGAGTTTTATTTTTGAGAGTTTATATTTGCTGTTACGTGAGAGGTGCTTCATTCATATATATTATATTATTCGTTTCAATCATTTGGAAATTTTGCTTCACCAGATTTTGATGAAATTTGGATTTGCCGTTCTTCGATATTAAATTTTTTTCGGAATTGCAAAAGTGATTAAGTTATTCACATATTTTAAAAATAACCTCAGTGATAATTCTATAAAGAAAGCAAGTTGGACCACGTCACCAAATTTATACTTTTATAGTTATCTGATACCACGCCCCCTTTTTTTCCTATTCCCACTATTAGTTCACACTCTCCCTATATATATTTATGTATCTTATACAAATTTTCAATCATTAATAAAATACTTTTTATTCATCCACTCTAATTCAAATGCATTTCTTTAAACTTGATGTTAATACAGTTTTTTCAAGTATTAATTCATTAATTAAATTTAATTAGTTTTAGTTTTATATTTAGTTTTATGTAAAAGACCCCTGGAGTGCCTTATTGGCTCTTGGCATTTCCGGCAAAATTAAATTCCTAGTGCACTTTAGCATCCAGTCTCGGTGCTGCCATCTAGTGTGGCAGAAACTGGACGTCTAAATTAACATGACCAACGGTATCTCACCCATTGTGGTGGTCCTGAAAGAGTGGATACCACCTCTGGAGAACGCACTAGGTCTGCTCATCGGCAAGACCGATTGTGCAGTTCATTGGAAATAAAAATAAAAATAAAATTTATATGGGAGAAAAAATTTAAATATTTAATAAAAAGTAACTAAAATAAAATGTTTCTTTATTGACCTAAGTAGGAATTGTTTCTTTATATTTACTTGTTATCAATTCTCTCATTACTTTTATTTTTAAATATTTGAATTTAGTTACTTCAATATTTTTATATATTAAATGCTAATTTGAATTTTTTTATTTTCAGAGAGACGAAACAGAGAAGACCGTGGACGACTGCCGAAAGTTTTCCAGAGTATGCTTAATGCTAGTCTTCCTATTTGTCATATGGGGCTTATTTTACATGCCAATAAAGACTGTCTCTCACATTCCTCTGCCTGATAATCTGGCCTGGATGATAACTCAACGTAATTTGTACAGGTACATCGTTCCGGAAAACAACACCAGTCTCATCCTACCTAAGTCTCAGTGCAATGGGAGCATCTTCATCGTGGTCGTGGTCTGTTCCGCTGTTCCAAACTTCGACGCCAGAGATTCCATCCGGAACACTTGGGGTCAATACGCGGCTAGTCAACGCAATATGCAAGTCTTATTCCTTCTGGGAAAGTCCTCCAACGATTCTCTCAACGCTGCTGTCGCCAACGAGAGCAGCAAATACTCGGACATCATACAGGAGGATTTCCTGGACACTTACAATAACTTAACCCTAAAGTCTGTGATGCTGTTAAAGTGGGTGAATCAGAACTGTGGACATGCCAAGTACGTCATGAAAACAGACGATGACATGTTCGTCCACCTGCCCAATCTTTTCAAGCTTTTGAAGGCGAAGGGACACCAGAATATGCTGCTTGGTTGTCTTATTAAAGGTGCCACTCCCGTCAAAGACTGGAACTCCAAATGGTATGTCCCAGATGTTGTTTTCTCTGGCAGGACATACCCTTCCTACCTCTCTGGGACGGGGTATGTCCTGTCACGGGACACTGTCCCCATTCTTTTCCGAACTGCACTCGAAACGCCGTTTTTCTATTTGGAAGATATTTTTATAACTGGCGTGTGTGCCAGTAGAGCTGGTCTCAATCCCGTTAACCATGAAGGTTTTAAGTTCTATAAAAGGAAGAACGATTACTGTGTATTTAAATCTCTAATCACTGCCCACAGAATGACCCCGAAAGAGCTGGTCAAGATGTGGCAAAAGCTTCGATCTCCGTCCTCGGCTAAATGCAAGTCCTGAAGCGAGTGTGTGTTGATACGTGTGCATCTAGTTTTTATAATTATATTATTCAAAGTGAATTTATATAATTGCCATCCTGTGCTTTTATCACACGAGTTCTTAACCTATGAACCACGACTCAGACTTGGAAACAAATTACTTTGCATAAGTATAGTTTGTCTAAAGTAAGAACTGCCCTAGCCATTTGTCTGGACCCGTGGCGGTGACTGTGGTAACCAGGTATAACTATTTCAAGTAGGATGTGAGGCCACTGTTTAGGACAGGTTTTGGTTGGGGTCGGTTAGAGGAGGGTAATCTTTTACTCTGGTCTATTGTGTTAGCCCTAGAGTGAGGAGAAGCTACCCACCCTAAAATGCGCTATTCTTGTTTCCAATAGCAGCAGACAACCTCAGACTTTGTGGTGGGAGGAGTTCTTACCTTAGGCAAGCTATATGTTTCTTATTCGGTTTGATCATATCTGATTAATATTATGTTCTTAAACTTGATAGACTATACTTGACTTTAACAGTCACTGTTGCAAACTCACATCAGTTATGAAAATAGCATACTATTTGCAAAAAATCATTATTTCATGCCTTCGAAAAACAGCCTTGAGTATGAGCCATGGCTTCAGGATGTTAAGAACTCTTGTTTTAACACAAAGCACCATGTCCAGTTGTTTTCCATTATTGTAATATAAAATTGTTACGATATCCATTATATGGCGGAGCCGTATATTTAACGTTTACTTAATATTAAAGTAATACTTTATGTACTGTTTTTTATAAACACTCTCTGCCTATGTACATAATTGTTTTCTTTATATTATGAGAGAGAAGGGAGAAAAAAAGTTATTAGACCCATTATAAAGCATAGAGTTAGCTGTTGATAGTGATGCAGTGCAATACATGTAACTGGATTATGTTGTTATAAGTAGTTAAGGGTGTTATTCTCTATTGTTAAGAATATACCTGAGAATTTGTTAGTTGCATGAGTCATACATATCACTATGAGATTTTTGTTTGTAATTAATGTGCTTAATTTTTTTTATTGATTTTCCTGTATAGCTGCTTGGAAATATGGCTAATTTATTTGCTAATTATTAAAAATTTTATTTACATCTACTGCATTTCCAATAAATAAAATGTTATATATATATATATATATATATATACATATAGGTACGGTTGCCTATTGGTTTCCACATTCATAAGAGCAGTTTTAATATTTCCTTTATTCAATACTAATAACGTTTTATTTAAAGGTACAGTTTTTAAATAAATTATTATGCCCACTAAAAAACTAGATTTTGAAAAAGATTTAAAAAAAATTTTGAAAAATATATATATTTTTTTGCAGATAATGATTAGTTCACACAGTTCTAAATCTTATTTAGAACTGTGTTCTAAATCTTATTTGTTAAAGTCTAAAAAAAATTTGAAATGACTTATGAAAACTTGCAACGTTAAGAGCCTTATTATGACACATAATTCAACAAAATATTAAAAATTATCTGCACAATTTTTTGATGTATTTTTTTTTTATAAAATTCATCAGTGTTTGATCAGCTAGCTCTCAAAAAATTTCGTCATAGCAACGAAAAAATTATTTTTTTGGATGTAAAAATCTTGTGAAAATTTTTTTTTGCAGGCGCTGTGCATGCAAACAACATTTTATTTTTAACTAGGCTGTACCTGTTAATAATATTTTATTTATGGATGCAATACATGCAAATAACATTTAGTTAGCAAAACTAAAACTAACGTTATAGTCATAGACAATATGTTTGTAAATAATGTTTCGTTTCTATTTGTATTTGACAGTTTCGATTTATTTCTAAAAAAATTTTTTAATTATATCAAATCATTTAAATTTTTTCGTATAAAAATGGATGTTTTAATTTTTTTTCCTTTTTATTTTTATTGGAAATTTTTATTTATGCAGAATAGAAAATTAAATTAAAAAATATCAATTAAGAAATCCAATTAGTGTCGAAGTTGAAATCGCTAAGATAACGGGAATGCGTTCACTTTAATTGAATTAGTAAATACTAATTACGGGTTATGTCTACTTTAAGTGACCTTTCTCAGAATTGAAAATTCTGCGATAACAATTCATGTAGTCAATATTTTTTTTTTGTAAATCCAAAAGAAAAAAAAAACTTTTTACACGAAGCTCAACGAACAAAAGATTACTGACAGCATTTGTGCAGAAGTGTGCAATTTTTTTCATATAATTAAAAGGGTGCAGCACACTTCCATCACAAATTCCTAATCAATTCTTCCTCTTTAATAATTTTTTTCTTCCAAAATACCAGTATTTAATATTGCCAATTTAACTTACATTTATATTTTCAAGATGGAGTTCTTTATCTGAAATTTAATAATTTTTGCAATTTCTACATATTTTTTTAAACCTAAGGTTTGATTTCTTTGTTTGTACCAAATTCTATCAGAGTCATAGTTCCTCCTAGCAGTTTTTTTTTCTCTTTTGTTCCTGGAAATTTCTAGCTTCTAAGATTGCATCTTTAATTTAGAAATTCTTAAATTACCAAACAAACATGCTTCGACCCTAAATTCTGATATTTAAATGTTTCCTAAAATATACCCTGTTGACTTCCAACAGATTTACCTCCATTTCAACTAAGGAATAATTATTTGAAAGCAAATGCTGTTGGTTTACGTACCCTTGAAACCCGGTACTTATCCGTTAGCTTGACTTTAAACCAGAATTCTTGTTCTAAAATAGTTGCCAATTGGAGTCAAATTTAGCAATAAGTCATAATGAATATTCGTAATGAGTCGTAATGAATATTCAGTCATTGCCAATGCATTGAATTCCTGGTACTAAAACATTGAAATTGTCGCCAAACTTTGACTGGCACGCTGCTAACCGATGAATACCAAAAACTATTGATAAAATTAAGTGTCAAAATCTTATCAGAAATTAAATAGTAAGATAACTTCATTCTTAGACATATTTTCATTTTTTTTTTAAATATTTAGTTCCAAAGACGCCATTTTGCTCGAGTAGAATTTTAATTCTACTATTTTATTGTTGGCAATGATAATGTGAAATTCTTTGATATTGATTTAATGTAATAGAACAATGAAATAACTATAGTTTTAAATTGAATCTCAGGATCTAGTCAATAACCTAGAGATCACTGGTGTATTCAGAAGTAGGTGTTAAGCCTACTTATGTTTTTGTTGAATTAAGTAACAATGTGATTTGAAAGTTATGAATTGCGAAAATTTTGTTTTAAGTAAAAGACAAAACATTAATTGGATTACGCTCCGATACGATTCTCGTAGTTTCAAAATGAATTTTTTCGAAATTTTTTTTATATCTAGATTCTAGAGACTCGCTAATAAATAATCAGTTTCAGTATGCTGATAACTTAATTTCAGTTAGGATTCAATCATCCTTAAGAAAGTTCATGGCATCTACTATCTCTAGGTATAGGACTAGATGGTTTGTTGTATACCCATAGATAGTAGCGACAAAGAAGTTCAAAATTGTTCAGATTAGGGGTTGCAAAAAAGAATGATGTTACCACATTTGGCGAAGTTTCCTTGAAATCTCTTCGCTTTCTTTCACCGCATCAAAATCACGTTAGGTGCAACGAGGTGCGTTTCGTCTTTAATCTCCTCTGATATAGATTTCAGCAGATAAAGGTTTGCGGTTCGTTTTCAAATCCGTATCGATTAAAAGACCAAATTCATCAACATCGCGTTCCTTCTGATGAAATTTTGAATCACACTGTTGCTTAATTTAGCGTAATGTTTCTTGAAGGATAACCCTCTTTCAATTATATAATCTCAAAGTACGTCACTTTTTGTCAGGTTTTAAAATATGTTGGCTAATAAGTTATCTGTTATTGGGAAAAGATCACCGATTATACATTACTTTTATTGCTTTAACTTACCGAACAGTTTTAAAATAGTCTTGACTTTAATGTTTTTTTTTTTTAAATTATTTATTGCTGATTCACATTACATCGTATTACTGGTCTTATAGTCATTAATCATTTAGTTAATTCAATTTATGATTCAAGTAATTTTGTTTAATAAAAGTTGTTGATCAATACATTTTCTGTTATTTGGAAAAGATCACAGATTGTAGATTACTTTTATTGATTTAACTTACCAAACAATTTTAAAATAGTCTTGACTTTAGTGTTTCATTTTTAAATGATTTATTACTGATTCACACTACATCGTATTACTGGTCTTATAGTCATTAATCATTTAGTTAATTTAATTTATGATTGAAATAATTTTGTTTAATAAAAGTTGTTGGTCAACACATTTTCTGTAATTAGAAAAAGATTACCGATTATGCATTACTTTTATTGATTTAACTTATCAAACAATTTTAAAATTGTCCTGATTTTGATATCTTTTTTTAAATGATTTATTGCTGACTCATATTATATCGTGTTACTGGTTTTTTAGCAATGAATTATTTTATGATTTAAGTAATTTTATTTAATAAAAATTTTTGATCAACACATTTTCTGTTATTCGTAAAATTTTACTGATTATACATTACTTTTGAAACTGTAGTTTCAAAGATTGTTCTGACTCAAATGTTTTTCTAATTGCTGATTCACATTGAGTTTAAATACTGTTCTTTTAGCAATTGGTAAATTAATTTGCAATTAGGGTTATTTTGATATTTTAATTTTACTCCAATGTAATAGAAATGTATAATTATTTATGTTTTTATGAATGAAAACGGAGTGTTTTTATCCATGTCTTCCCCAGGTCACAGTTGCCTCCAAATGTGAAATTTTATATTCTTGAATCTATGTCAAACTCAACTTATAGAAAAAATTAAATTTTTACTTCATTTTCTGATTTGGTAATCTTGAAAACAAAAAATGAATATTATATGTTTGTTTCTAGAATGTGTGATAAATTTGTTGGTTGCTTCTAAACTTTTTTTTTAAATGTGTTTCTTTATTTCGAAAACCATGTTAACTTTTTTTTTATGTCACTTATCCTCACTTAACTAATCAAAGTATTTTGTATAATACAAAAATCGCTACTCAACGTCTGAAATATTTTTCTTATTATATCAGTAATTTTAATTTAGAAGTTAATAGTATAGCAATTCCAAATACATTTCTTTATTGTTTAGCTGTTACTTAGCTTTTCTTTATAAAATAATGTTTAAAAAATCGTGCTAAATAGATTGAATAGATAGTGTCATTGGCGCCAAACTACATGTAAGCATGCAGAGTACGTAATATTCCAGGCATAAATAATTTTAAGAACGAAAACTTAATTTTACAGGTGCAAAAAATAAGGCATACGTTTACTTAAGCTTGTTTAACAGTGAACACCGAAATCAACGTCTCGGCGTATTGCGTTTTTCTGCGCATGCGTGGAACGTAAATCTTCAAAATCTAGCTGAGAGTTGATGACGTCGGCGTTTTTTCTGAACTAACCTTTAAGTTGGACAATATTCTGAAATGTTATCTAATAAGAATATGAAGCGTTATTATTTTAAAGCATTTAAAAGCAGAAAAACGTTTCTAAAATAGAGATGCAATAATTTTACGAATTTAAGTTGTTTTTCCGAAATCAATTGAATAACTTATCCATGCATATCGGAACACATATCCTGTATTAGCCATTATTTTCAAAATTCTTGCTATTGGTTATTAATATTCTTTTAAAACTGATTATATTTCTGACCAAATATTTCTTGCAACAGGGTTTAAATTGGTGGCAAATTTTCGCCGTTTTCTCCTCCAAATACAAAATAGTTACATTAAAAAAGAGTTCCCTTAAATAGTGAATTTATCCCCAATGCTTGATTCAGGAGCTCCCTTGTTTTATGGGTTCGATAATTGTTAAGCATAAGGCATTGAAATAGAACATTGTTGAAAATCCGATATGAGTTAGCTGATCAAAGCCGTTTATTAAATAAAATGGACATTGTTTTTCTTAATGTCTAAAACCCTTCTCTTATTTCATATCAGACGTTTCACAGATAAAACATTTTCGTTTTCAATGCAGTTGGAGTTGCTTTTCCGCGTTCATTTTTATCTTAGGCTTAAGAAATATTCATTGTTTCATAGATTGCAACTTATTATCTATTACTATTGACAGGAACTGATATACGCAACCAGTTAGGTGATCAGCTATACAAAATTAAGCCTTTCTTAACTCGAACTTTGTTTGTTGCTTTTTAATTTAAGCTAAAATTTCTTGATTTCACGAATTTTTTTTGTTTTGTTTTATTACTTACTTTAATAGTATACATCAAAAAATTGTCCATCCTATCATTGGGGCTGCAAAATTTATCAGTGAGTCCTTATTCTTATCTTTACACTCTGTTTGCATTTGTGATTGATATTACGGTCGTTTTATGTATTCGGCTCTCGGTTGGGATCATGTTTAATTTATTTTTATATTTTAATCGATATACCGGTTCATAACTTGTGCGTTCTAACTTTTACGAACGCAGCTTGATCGATGCTTAAATTGAACTTTCATTGAAGTAAGTTACTTTTTCGCTAATAATTTTAACTGAGTTTGCTTTTTTATGCCATATCTAATGCCTATCAATTGTTAAACATGAAACCGTTATGTCGCCTATTTGTAAATCAAATTTTATTCGTAAACTACTTTAACGCCTCCATAAGAATATTACCATAATTTATTTTAACCCATATCGTAATGGAATTTCCCCTTTTATGATAATTTATCGATATGCAATATGTGATTAGAGTTAAATATTTTGTTTTAGAGTATGTTCGAATCAATATTCAACATATATATTTGTTTAGAGATTTATAAATTTGTTCCATTGCAAACCAAACCCTATAAATTTTAGTAACTACAACTCATAACAACAAATTAAATTAAGTTAGCTGGAAATATACATTGGCTTAGTATATTCTCAATTCGATACTTTTTTGCCTATGTCTTTTTGCTTTGTAAATTTAATTCCATGTTTAATTACCATGTTTTTTGTTTTTAACTGATAATGTAAATTTAATTACCATGCTTTTTACCTTATTATTGCCCTTGTAAATTTAGTTGTTATCGTTAATATGCTTTTAGTTGACTGTGTAAATTTAATGGCGTCATGCTTTTTGCTTTTAATTTCCCATGTAAATTTAATTGTAATATTTATGTAATTTTTTTTGTTTTTAATTGCCCATGTTAAGTACAGCTCTAATACGGCGAAGGTTGAAGGTTTGGAGTTAAATTGTCTAAAATAGCTGTGAAAAAAAGAAACAGCTCTCTGATGACATCTTCACAATCACATATTACTGCATCGATTAAAAGTCATGCATCTTACAGTACCCGTACAATGATTTTGGCATACGTTTCTGTTAACATAAATGAAATGCATTTTAAATATTTGTTATTAATAACTTGTACGAAATGTATGTTAGTACATTAACATAACCTTAAAATATTTGTTTTAATAATTATGCAATTCTTTATTTCTGCGAATTATTTAAGATTTTTTATGCAGACAGTAATCTGTGCAAGACAAATTGTACTCTGAAAGAATGGAATTTTTACAAAAGGGAAAATCTCTTTTGTGAAATGCTTAAATTTGCACACAAAAAAAGTCTTTCTAATCATAAAAAAAATTCATTCTATTGCAATTTCAGAAAAAAAATTATGCTCATGTGTTATAAATCTGTAATAAATCAATTTATAATGATAATTACTACAGGTATTTTCAATAATTATTAAATGACAAATAAAATTAATCAGGTTAAAAAATTGAATCTTACATCAAAATAACATATAAGTAATTAGCCTTTTTTTTAAATTTTATTTAATTGAGTTAATGAACTGAAGACAGGTGATAAATTTGTTAAGTACTTACTTCAAACATTTCATGATATTAAAGTTCATGGAGCTTACAATTTTTAATTCCTGGTTGATTTTTGGTTTTAAAAATTTGTAAGCGCTGAATTCTAAAAGATCTGAATTCTTATCTTAAAAAAAAAATCAATTTTTGTGAAAACAGAACAAGCTAACTGCACACCAAAGAATCTCCAACCTTATTCGATAGCATGAATGTTAGAATTCAGAAAAAAAGGCACTCTTTTTGAATTCAAGCCTTCGATTATAAATTATTTATGTGTATTGATTTTATTAAATACTTTTGAATCATACACATGAACAGACAAAAAAAAATGTTATGAATATTTCTTTCTTTTTGAAAAGTGTGATATAAATAGTACTACTATGTGAATATGAAATTTTGTGATATTTCATTCCACGATACTGTTTAATGCTTAATTCATCTGTGATCGTGCCATTCCTTACTTATTTGTGATGCCTAGTTCTGCACTGTTTCTGAAAATTTATTTATTGTGTTATCGTTCTTTACATTTCTATTGCAATAAATACGATTTCTTAATCTAGTTTTGTGTTTGGATTCTGCATTATTTAGATTTTTAATTTGTACAGTAATAATAAATTAAAAATTAGCATGGAAAAGAAAAATTATACATAGTTAGCTTATCTGAAAAGTGTGTAATACTATGCAATGTGGCTAGTGTGTATGCAATGTACACTGTTCATTCTTATGACATTTTCTGAGCTTTTCATATATTATCCTTTTCTCAATAAAAATTAACCATCAACTTCTTTTCCTATGTGTAGACGCAAATGCATGGTTCTAAAAATCTTTCTGTTAATCCTAATACATTAAAAATTGAAATCTGTTAAAAGTTTTGTATAAGTTTGCAAAATGTTAACCATTTTAAACTATAACAGCGATTCCCCTTTTTTTCGGCTACGAAACCCTAAATAATAAACTTCCTTTCTGCAGAACCCCGACTTCATAGATAAAGTTTCTTAAGATAATAATGAAATAAAAAAATGTTTTTATAAAAATTTTTTTTTTAAATATTTAACTGGAGGAATGAAGATTATTCACCGAATTATCCTTAATAATCTTAAAACAGGTTTTGTTTCCGACAGTTAAGTCTGCAGTCCTTGTGCTATATCTTGTTTAGTTATGAATTTGTTTTTGATGTATATATGTTAGTGTGAATGACTAAAATTGGTGGTTGTTGATTTCCACTGGGGAATGTTGACAATGACATAGTCGCTTTGGCAAATGTCCGAAATATATACTAGGTCTAGTTAAGTGTCACTACCATACAGTGGTATACATTTGCCCGGTATACCCTACACTGATGACTTTTTAAGGCTCAGTGGCACTGCCAGGTATACATGTTACCGGTACTCCGAACGGTAACGTTTGTCCTAATCTATCCTCAGCAGATATTAAAATATCGAATAAATATAATAATATCAACGAATAAATTAATATCAAATCCGATAAAACAAATATTTCGGACATTCACCTAAGTGCTATATGATTGTTGACGTTCACCGGTGAAAGTCTACATTCTCTTGATTTCTGACATTTGCGGTAGCATATACATAAGCTGAAAATGAAATAAGCCGAATTATGGTATACTTCGAGATAAAAACTCAAAAAAACTGCTGTAAACGTTGAAAATAGTAATTAGGAAAACATATTTCTTTATTAAGGAATTTAGTTATGAAATATATTATTATATGGTTTGAAAAGCGTGACTGGGAATATTACTGCAGTATTTTATAAATTCTTGTTTTTTTTTTTCATAAATTATTCAATGTATTTGCTATTAGAAATATTATATTTTCTTTTAAACAATGCCATTTCTGTTTCATTGGTATTTTACTTGAAATAATTTTACAAAAACAATCGAAAAATTAAATAAATTATGGATTATAGGTTATATCTAAATATAGTCAGAGGTTTCAAAGCTCGTAACTGGTTATTAAAAGTGAATCGCGAAATCCCTTTAACTCTTCCACGGAACCCTAGGGTTCTGCGGAACACCATTTGGGAATCGCTGAACTAGGCAATCTTTTTTCATGAGTAAATCGCCAAACATTGATTTCTGTCTTTGTTGAAGGTGACTGCTTTCCCGACACTTTATTAAAATTTGATCTAAAGGCAGAATTCTATTAACGATCTTATTTTTCAAAATAGTATATATAATACATACCAATTAATTTTTATTTATCAATAAGCTAATATATTTGCAACAACCTTCAGGAATTTAACTAACTTCCTGATATTGTATTAAGAAAACCTACATTTCTCCTTTACAACCCTTTTACATTGAAATAATTTTCCATCTTCACTAAATTTCTTCCACATCTATCGCCAGATGTTTGCATATCCACCAGATGTTCCTTAAGTTTTCTGTCGTTTGCATGCCTTTCTCTTTGGTTATATTTTGACCTTCAGTACATTTGGGCAGTACGCGAAAAAAAGCATCTTAATGATTTTGTATCTAATGGTAAGATTTTAGTGGACTAGGATGCGATTTTAATGGCTCAAGGGTTTAAATATGCTAATTATTAGTACAGACGATGAAATTACGAAACCCAACTCATAAACGTACTTCAATTTCGCTACCAGAGTCGTATTGAGTCGGCATTGACGCAATGCACTGCGTGTACGAGTACCGTAGTTAGCTGGAGTTGGGCGCGAAACAGTTTGGTCAATAAATTTATAGCCGCCAAGGAATATGGTAACTGCCTCACTCTGCCACTGACTAGTCCCGCAGTGAACTGATCGTAAAGACGCGGTTCCCAGTAGAACACCGAAGTCAAGCATCACTGGCTATGGTCAGTAGGGACCTAGGGTGCGCGGTATCGGTCCTCGTTAAACTGTTCTACCGTAAAGTGCTCGACTTCGCGTGCAGGTAGTCGGTCTACCGAAGCAGGGGAGCCATCCCTTCTACAGAGGATCAAAATTGCGATGGCATGTCTTCGGATCATCCTCAGGGATGCTTCGCAGACCGTCTCTAATAGCCCATTGTGCAGCTCTAGTGCGACGTAAATAAAGAAATAAAGTACCTAGCTACCTACCTGCCACTGACTAATGTTTCTTTTACCTCTTGGCAAATATTCCATTTACGTATATTGGGTTAATACTACTATATATATCCTCACATTCCTTTAACTCGCCCTCCTTTTGTATGTATTTCCAAACTGTAAATATTCATTAGTGTTTATTTTCCCATTGTACTTTAATTTTACCTTTTTTCATGTACATTTTTATTACTTTTAATTTTGTATTTGCCTAATAATGGCAAAGTGTCATTTTTCTTCTCTCAAGAACTCCATTTGCTCCCCAAACTTTAATTTTGTCATGTATGTTTCTTAGTTTAATTTCAGGATGAATGGGAAAAGGGCCGAAAGACCTCAGACGCCCAGTTCCACTACAACGAACGAGACTTGAAAGTCGAAACTAGTTTCTCTTGTTTGTTATATTTAGAATTGAAGTATTTTTTAGCTATGAAGTAAAATTTAATAAGGAATCTTCATGCAATGTGCTTACTTGGCGATGTGATGCTCCCTTCAGTGGCGTCGCGTAAGAGGAGAGCAAAAACAAAAGGGTTAACGTACCTTATTTTAAGACAGAAATGAATTTTTGACCCTCAAAATATTCAGGGTAGCAGCAATAGGGTCGTAATAATTTGGTCTGGACAGCGGATGAAAACGTGGACCCCTTAATGTTAATTTCACTTTTTTGCACATTTCGCCATATATCTTGAATGCTTTATGTGAATCACAAACTTAGTGAATACAATTGCATACCTGCCAACTTTTACGCATTTGGCGTAAAATTTTATTTCTATATTAAAAGTGGCAGTAAAATGTATACTTTCTATATATTTCTTGCATTTATAAACTAAATTTATAATCTTTTTGACCACCACTATTTTAAAAAAATTAAGCATATATAGTAATATGTAATTCAATCCAATCACGAATTTATCCAATTTAATTATTTGTTTGTTTTTATTATGTAATTTGTTAACAGTCGGAAAAATTAATTCTAAATCCAAAATTTGAAGAGAATCTCCGATTTCTTTACGATGGCGAAACACGCAGAAAGTGAAATTAACATTCAGAGGTCCAAGTTATCCACTACTCTCTTGACCAAACTATATTATATCATATATTCCAGAGTGCGACTACTCTCTATATATTGAGCCGTGATGGCTCAAGGGATAGAGAGCTCGCCTTCCAATGAGCTGCACCGGGTTCGAATCCCAGCGATGGCTGGTCAATGCGAATTCCATATCCGGTTTGCAACGACCACAGTGCTGACGTAAAATCTCATTGACGTCAGACCAACCGTGAGTGGTTTTCCTCTCCATGTAACGTAAATGCGGGTTAGTTCCATCCAAAGGTCCTCCACGAAGACAAATTTCTTCCAATACTTGATCCAGGAGTTCCCTTGTCTTCTGGATTGGGTTCAAAACTACAAGGCTACGGAGTTGAACATTAGTAGTCGTATACCCAAAAAATTGGGTCAGCTGTTCAACGACGGTTATAAAATAAAATAAAATGCTCCCACACAGTCAACTTTTTTAAAAAATTTAAAAATATGACTTTTAGAGCTGAAAACACTTTTTAAAGGGTATTTAGAAATTTAGTTGCAGCCCAATATATAGAGATATGCCTTTTAATAACTGATTTAAATAATTTTTCTACAACAGATTATTTCCGAGCAAATTTTATCTTTTTCGTATGGAAAGATCTTAATTTCTTTGAGTCTTCTATTCATTTCCCCAGCCGCAAGATAAAGGTTCATCATAATAATCATAGATGTAGAGGTTTTGGATTTAAATAGCATACAAATTAACGTCAAAATGACGACAGGCGAGCCTAGACAAATGACAAAATTTATACGTCCGTCTTCCGTCACTCAGGGAGATGCAGTGCAGAGGGCATCACCCTTGCGAACGAAGTTCTCGAACTGGCAGAACATTTTAATAATTAACTTGCCTGTGGAGATGGCTGAAGGCTAAAGCCAGACTGTCGCCAAGAGATTAGAACTATTCTTCTCTGACACAATATGCGTTCACCACAAAATAGATTTGGACCTAAATGTCGCGGTCGTGATGACAACACTGGAATTGTTTAGGACGTGCGGCCCACCACTCAGGTTGATGAAAATTGTTCCATTGCACCCCAATGACAAGCAGCGNGAAGAAGAGCCGCAGAGCTCAAATAAATCTTATTAGGCTAAATTAAGCCTTACCTATTGAAACGCAGTGCTATAAGCGAAAGCAGAGAGCACGCCGCACTTTACTATACTCAATATTTTTTTAGTTTGTTTTGATACACATATAATTTAATTGGGTAGTATTTTTTATTTTTAAATTTAGTGGATAACAATTGTAAAAAATGAGTGAAAACAATCCCACGGACAATGCGACGGATTTAAGGTTATGTCAAGGTACGTCTCCTGTGAATATCAATTGATTGTTAGGTTTTCTCTTCTGAAATTACATTATGACGCATTCACATACATTATTAATACAAATACATTTTCCATGGC